ACTCCAGGGGTTCTCTTTCCATCTGTGATCCTCGTGTGTCTACCCTGGGTCAGATCCAGCCACAGCATGACCATGACCTTCTTGGTGCTGTCTTCTGCCATCAGCAGCTTCTGTGAATCAGGAGCCCTTGTTAACTTCTTGGATATTGCTCCTCGGTAGGGACCTCTTTTGCCTCATCCTCTTAGAAACTCAGTTCAAGTCTATCAGCCCTAAACCTGCTCTGATGCACAAGTAAAATGTGGCAGGTACAACTGGTCGCCGGAAGTGTCAGCACCAGCTCTACACCCTACATCTAAATAATCCCAGGAAGGGATGCAAAGCTGGTCAACCATTGTGAACTTAGTTTTTCCAGGTGTGAACAAGAGGAGTCAGTGGCCATGCTCACAATCAACTGAGGGAGACTCACACACATCTCTCTCTGTTGTGGATTGCAGCAGTTGCCCAGGGTGGGATCACTGAAAGAATTCTTGTGATTCCATAGGGTATGCTCATGAAAATCTTCTTTAATAAAGACAAAGGACACAGGATTGCAGGAGAAAGATCTGTCTCTGATACAGTAAAAACAGAGTTCACTGAGACTTCCAATCATAGCTCCCAGGGTCCTGTTCCAGTCAACAGGACATCCTTCATCTTCAGATAATGAACCACCAAGAAATGTCGTCTCAGGGGAGCCAACATCTCATTCGATGAGGGATCTTTTATACCCACAGAAGGTATAAAAGTTACAAGATCAGACTCAACAGTAGAAGCCAAAACAACACAACAAAATCCTTATAAGCCAGGTGCAGACCATCCATGTGACTATCTTGCATAAACAATGTTGACAAGTTCATAGAGGTTACCCCCTTGGGAGTACCAATCCCTAGCACAGGATTACACTAATAATTAATCAGTACATTTCATTCTGGTTTCACCAAGGCTTACACCATTCCAGCCATCCACAGAGATAAGTACAGAGTTGCAACAGACCAGCAGAGATTAACCCTTTGTTTGCACAGGAATGTTTCCCTCCCTCTCTCAGGTACTGAGACTTTTAAACATAGGTATACTTGGGTATAGTAGAGTACCATCTCTCTCTCTCAGGTACACGGGCTTTCTCAAAGGACTATTGCAAGTCTTTGCACACATAGCTGGAGCCATCTCTCCCACTGTTGCTGGATTTTTCATCAATCAGGTGAGGTCAAATGTTCTGATGAATATTCATAAGAGAAACCTATAGAAGCATGGTGTTTTCACATTTGCCCAGGCTTCTATCCTAGAAGATGCATTTAAAGTAGTCAAAATAAACCAACTTACATCATGACTTAAGCATTTCCTAAGAATCTTATTGGTATAAACTTTACATGAATAAAGAAGTGTATGGCATTCTTCTTTTCTGCCATATACTTCATTTACTTGTGAAAAGCACTTACTGCCATATACCATTCATTTACTGGTGAAAAACCACATGCAAGTTGAAGGATGACTTTCCTGTGGTTTTGCACCAGTAAGTCAGAAAAATAAATGAATAATAACAAAGAAAGAGTATTCTTTATGAAATCAAGTCCCTTATCTTTTTTGAAGCTTCGATTCCCTTCTAGGCACTAACACACACACTGTCGGGAAATGGTTGCTTAAAATGCAAACTCTCAAACTGATCTTGTTTCTCCTGTCATTTATTGACTCATTCATTCAATAAATATTTGACATTAGTATGTGCCATGCACTATTTAAGTGAATAAAACACAATTCCTTCTCTTGTGAAACCTATATCGTAGAAAAGAAACAGAAAGTAATCTATGAAAGTAAAATATATATTGAATGGTAGCAAATGCTAAGAAAAGAGAATAGAGTACATAAAAGGGGGTTGAATTTCTATTTTAATTACGGTGATCCAGGAAGGACTCACTGAAAAAGGAACATTTAAGCAAGGAGTGAAAGGAAGTGAAGGTGTGAGACAAATAGATTTCTGGGGGAGGAGCATTCCAGCCAAGGAAATGCCCAGTACTCTGGCCCTCATGGCAGAAATGTACCTGAGTATTCCAGGACCAACCAGGAAGCCCACAGGAGTCAGAGTGGAGGTAGGGGAGGGAGCAATAGGACACGGAGCCAAAGCCTTTCTGAAGCAAGAGGGACAAGAACTGGGTTAACGTTAATAACTTGTAATTTTCTACCTACAGGATTCAGAGTTTGGTTGGAGAAATGTCTTCTTGCTTTCAGCTGCTGTTAACATATCAGGCCTGGCTTTCTACCTCATCTTTGGCCGAGCAGATGTGCAGGACTGGGCTAAAGAGCAGACAGTCACCCACCTCTGAGCAAACCGAGAGATGTGTTAGATCCCGGTGCTTTGTTGCTTTTTGTTTTCCCTCACAGACATTTCCCTTTCATGCCTGCGTGACTGATAAGCCATTAGCCAGACCCTGACTATGTAATCCTAAAGATTTTAGCATGCCTGGAGATTTTACAGGGGAAGAAAATAGGCTATTTAACTGTAAGCTACCAAAAGCATAGGTGTGTTGAGATTTCCATATGTTCTCCACTCTTCCACTGTTATCCTGGTAAAAGAATCAGGGGCTGGGGACAATTTCTTTCAAGCAAAAGAGGAAGCCAGACCTTGGGACCAAGAACTGAGAATCACAAGGGTGTTGTGCCCAACATGCAGAAGATGAATCCTCTGAGCTGTCATCAAAAGAAAGCCCCAAACAACAGAAAGCATAGTGTTTTCCATTGTTGGTGAAAAATGCCAAGGAGGAAAGAACAATAATGCTTCTATCATGACAAGGAAAAAGAACGTGCCTGCAACTAATGGGAGTGAGACAGGACGCTTTAACTTTTTCAGACAGCTTGCATTCTGTGGATACCAGCTCTGGAATCAGAGTCGCTTCTGGAATATCTCTACTTGTAGAACCAGCTTTTGGACAGTTACCGTCTTTCAGGCCATCTTCTTCTGGCCCACATCTGCTTTTTGGCTTGGTGCAGATCTTTGACATCTTAGTGAATGGACGTTGCCCAGTGTCTCTTCTAGCCCCTCCAACAGTTCTTCATGTGTTACTGCTGCTGGACACTGACCCATGATGTCAGCCTTCATCTGCCCCTTTGACTATTGGAGTCCCACGCAGCATTCAGTAGGATTCAATTCAATGTGGAACCATTCAACATTCACCTCCTTAACCTAAAATATCTTCCAAAGATGTGTGTAAGACACACACTGCCTTGACCTCACACAAAATGTCTGGAGAAATGTGTGTAGTGCTTTTGTTAAAGCCCCTATATGGGCAGCATGGGGGATCATAAGATAGCAAAACCATTTCAACACTGAGAGAATTAATGCACACACACCTTGTGGGGATGGCAGAAATTAAAACCATACACAGTATTAAGCAGCAGATAACTTTAATCAAAGTATCAAACACGTGAATATGTAATAACAACTGTAGAAATAATGAGTGGTTACATGGCGTATGAAAGTGGATGATAAGTGCACTAATCTGAGTGTAAGGGAGGACCACCCCTACAAAGTTCCAGCTGAGTTGGGATCTGAAGGACAATAGTTAACTGGTGTGGGAGGCTGAGGGGAGAACATTCTAGGAAGAAAGAACAGCATAAGCAAAAGTTTCATGGCAGGAGGCAGCAACCAGGTATGGCCAGAGTACAGCGAATAATGGAAGTATGGTTTGTGAGGAGGCTGTAGAAGAATTAAGGTCAGGCGCACACAGGATTCTGTGGGCTCAGTGAAGTGCATTGGTCTTTATTTTGAAATCAGTGGGAAGTGTCCTGGTTTTCAAAGGCTACTCTGCATGAAAGATCAGGTTGAAGTAGGAGGTTACAGTGTAGTCTAGGAGCCACGATGGCCCCTGGCATGAAGGGAATAGACATGGTGAGAGGTGAATGGGTTATTTGATTCAGCGAATAAACCTGACAGACCTAATAACAAATGATAGAGTTGGGCTCAAAGAAGGAGCTCAAAACAAACATGTTTAAGATTGTGAGAAGGTCCTGGCGACACAGAAAAGTTGCCTATGCACAAAAACACAAAGCACTAATGGAAAGTTCCTGAAAAGGTTGGGACAAGGAGGAATTTTGTGACCTGAAGCCCAGTTATGAAAATGATGAGAGATGGTGTGAGGACAGCTCCTGCCTTTTCACCCGACAGCCCAAGATCGTGTCTTCATCCACTAGTGTGAGATCCAGGGAGGGTCTCATTTTTATATCTTTCTTCCTACTTGGAAGGGAGGCAGTAAGTGGAGAAAGAAAAAGATCTGAAGTGCTCTTGTCAGACCAGAGGAGAGAGGCCCTGCATATTTCCTGGCAGGACTATCACCACACTGTTCCTTAGCTGCTTCAGTTTCCTCTACATATCCTGAATGGAAACTTCTAAAGCTCAGGAACCATGACATACATTATTTTGTAACATCTTTAATACAAAGAACAACAGTATCATACACAGTAAAAGCTACTGACAACTGACACAGTATGAATCAACGAATGAACAACTCCAGAGTAGGGGGAGAACTATTAGGGAAGAAATGGATAGGAAGAAAAGAGGCCACATTTTTATTTAATTCCATTTGTTTTCTGAGCATCTAATCATCTAAACGTATGGATTATCTTTTTTTTTTTTTAATCTAAAATTAAGATGTTGACAGATTGGGTCTGCTCCATATCATTTCTCCAGCAGTCATCAAGCCAATCCCAGGCTCTCAGTGACAATTAAGATGCTGTCCACCAGGGCACAAGATCACTTGCTTGTTTCTGAGCCACTCCGTGTCTGCATTTATCCATCTCTTTTGCCTTCTCTGGATCCTGTTCTTTCTTTCTGATCTGTCACTTTTAGCTATTTCTGAAAATGAGTTACATTTCTCCCTGGGCCCACCAGAGAAGGAGCTAATTTGTGCTGTTTCCTCTAAAATGGGCCATCCTTAAATTATGGAAATCTAAAATTTTGCACTGGTTCACACATCTACAATGAGGGACACTAAAAGTTGAAAATTGTGGAAAAAGTCTTTCATGAAGTCTTAGAATAAAATTTTATCTTGTGTGTGTTTATTAGTTTAACAATCATTTATAAAGCAACTGATGCAGAGAGAAAGACAGAGGTAAACCACCACCCCCATTTAAAATTCAGATATGTTACATGTTACAGACAATACATGTTAAAAAACGATGCTCACAGGATATGTGGGAGTGTAAAACAGGCTCCTAGGACTCCTACCACCTTCGTCCTGATGCTGGTGATGGCCCCACAGCCTCAGCTTTGTGTGCTGGTCCCTCTTCCCTTCAGTAAGAAGGTTGGTCCCAGGCTCTGCAAGTGCTCTGTTTCACACTAAGATTGGTAAACAAAGAAAAAAATAGTGCACACAAATGTCATTGGTGAGTCCTTGTACCCAGAGGACATAAGAAAGCTTTTCAGCATTTCAAAAAGATGTTCTGGTCTATTATATTTTTCTCAAGTTGTCTTCCTTCCATAAGTGATAGGTTATCCTAGGCATTCTTTTACACATCTCCCCTCTAGACGTAAAAATAAATATGGCTATCTATGCAAGTTTATCATCCTTCCTCTTCCCTATTCTCAACAGTCTTTATGTAAAAGATCCAAACAATTCTAACATTTTGCTAGGGGCAGGCACATGGTATGAAACCATCCATCAGTTGCTCTATATCTATGTTGTATCCTGAGAACAAAACAAATCAAAACAAAGCGAAAAACACAGTGCATACCAGTGGGGTTTAACACTCTGGTAGTTTGATATTGCTGCTCTCCCTATATATTTTACCCACAGTCATAATAAGGCATACCTTTTGTACTGTTACCAAATTCTTATTCTTTGTAAACAAACTTGTTACTAAGAAAATGAAAATAAAGCCCTCCTTTGTGGTCCTGCACCCACCACACTTTTTTTTTGGACCCTACCCAAAACTGTCACCAGTCCTTTCAAAGAACAATTGCTGTCGTCTATGTTTACTGGGATAGTGGACTCTGGCAAGTTAGGGTGAAACTAGGCTTTACCTAGTTAGTCGGTGTCCAGATTAGCTCCTTCGATGTCATATTCTCCAAAACCTGAAAATGGGGACTGGCCAAGGTTCTAAACTGGGGTGTCAATCCAGGGGCCTATGTAGAGTGACTCCAAGGCCACTGAATGCTTTAATTGGTTGACACAGAAAAAGACCTACAGGAGGTTAAAATACTGTCACAGTCCTGAAATTCTTTCCTGCCCAATGCCCATGTGGCTGTGATGGTGTCTGAAGGGAGAAACAGGCCTATGAAGTGACTGAGTCTACTCACAGGTGCAAAAGTGGAGGGAACATTTCCTACTAGTCACGTGTCTATGCTCTGTCTCTGTCTTTGAGGAATAGAACTGCATTGTCTATTTCTCTTTACAAACCCAAACACATTCACCTAAATCTACTGTTAACATCTATTTACATAGTAAACAAATGTGAATCCTTCAAGACAATTCTTCAAGATGGATCTCAGGTGGCTAATTGGGCCTAAATTTAAAATAGAGCCAAGAAGCAATTTTCTGACCAGGTAGGAGTCACACACATACTCTCAATTCCCTGAAAACCTGCATCCATTCATATTTGGGACTTCCAGCATTCACCTGAACCAAGCAATCGGAGCTCAGCAGCTTCAGTCAATCAATCAGGGTTCAGCTGTATTGACCAACCAGAACTCAGTTTTGCCAACCAATCAGAAATCAACTATGCTGACTAATCTCAACTAAATTTCTTTCAAGCTTTTATTTACATAAATGAACCTGATTAAAAAGACAGGTGGGGCCAGACCCAGTGGCTCATCCCTATAATCCCTATAATACCAGCACTTTGGTAGGCCAAGGAAGGTGATCACTTGAGGTGAGGAGTTAGAGACCAGTGTGGCCAATATGGTGAAACCTCCGTCTCTACTAAAAATACTACTAAAACTACTACTAAAAATAGAAAAACTAGCCAAGTGTGGTGGCAAGCGCTTGTAATCCCAGCTACTAGGGAGGCTGAGCCAGGAGAATCACTTGAACCCTGGAGAAGGAGGTTGCAGTGAGCCAAGATCATGCCACTGCACTCCAGCCCAGGTGACAGAGCGAGTCTCCGTCTCCAAAACAAACAAACAAACAAACAAAAAACATGGGTGGGAGGGAACATTTGCTGTAAAAAACTGGGCCTGGCTTGGCGTGGTGGCTCAGTCTTAAATCCTGAAACTTTGAGAGACCTAGGCAGAGGACTGCTTGAGGCTGAGAGTTTGTGACCAACCTGGGAAACATAAAGATCCCATTTCTATATAAATAATATTAAAAAAAGCAGCAGGGCATGGTGGCGTGTGCCTAGTCCCAGCTACTCAGGAGGTTGAGGTGGGAGGATCACTTGAGCTCAGAAATTCAAAGCTGCAGTGAGCTGTGATGGTACCACTGCCCTCCAGCCTGGGCAACAGAACAAGACTGACTCGAAAACAAAACAAAATAGAAAACTGAGCCTTCCCTTCATTCTTTGGAATCCACTTTCATTTTGTACCCTGGGTTTCCTCTCCACAGTCTGCAAACAATTCGCTGGAATAAAGTCTCTTTCCTCCAAATTCCTATTCAGAAAACTGTTGTTCACATTCTTGGCATCAAAAGTGAGATTTGAAGCCCTGTCCTGAGCCAAATCATGGGTGGGTACCAGCAAGAGTCCCTTGAACTCAGTTGTCTTCTCAGTGGTGCCAGTGGGGAGGGAAGGGTTGGATAAGTCCTCTCAAATTCAGACCTCCCATGCTTTGGTTGAAGTCTCGGAGACTTTATTCTTTCCCTGTAGGCCCCTCCATCTGGACTCCAGAGAGGACATTATTACCTGTTGGCCCCAGTTTGGAGGAGGGGAGCAGTTTCCTAGCCTTAGAAATTCCCTCTACCCAGACCCCAGATGGGACATTCCCTTTTGACCTCAAGTTTAGTGGGGGGATCTTTCCAGTTTCAATCAGTTTCCTCCAACCAGACCCCTGAGAGGACATTCCCTCTCAGGGATTGGCTCCAGATTGGCTCCAAGTTTGCTGGAGGCTTTTCAAGTTGCCTTCCTCTGACCATCCAACTCTAGAGAGCTTCCCAGCTGGCCCTGGGTTTTGTGGGGGGCCTTCCCATTATGACTTCTCCAGTCTATAAGGTTTTGTGGGGACACAGGCACTAAGGGTAATGGAAGGGATGACTTCATCAGGTGAGTACAATGGGTAGCCTGTGTTGTAAGTTTTTCCCTGCTGATCAACCACCTGCTGGGACTCCAGATGGCTTTATAAGCAAAATTTATGGTCTGCTCAGTTGTAATTGGCTAGGTCTCTGAACAAAAATTACCCACGATAATCTTCAACTTTGCTGGACCAGACAGGGCTCCTCTGAAATTCCAAAGCTTGCCTCTCTGTGCACACAAAGAAAATACTGAACCTCTCAGAGACATTGGGCAGCCTTTATCAGTTGGCACTTTGAAACTTGTAAGCAGAATCAAGAGGCCACCATTGTCTCTCTTAAAGAAAATAATTCCAAATTGAGTGAGTACCTTAATATAATTGGAAAGCGAGATTAGTGCCCGCAAGACAGACCAAAGCTGCAAAAAATCCTCTGGAAAAACCTTCTCCTGGGCCCTCTTTCCTGTTGTTCTGCCTGTCTTCTGCACCGTTTTTTTTTTTTTTTTTTTTTTTTTTTTGCCACCTCTGCTTTATCTTTCACTCCCTCCTTCCTCTTTTGCTTGTTCACCTGGTTGTCTGAAAAGTTAGAGCACTGGCCAACACTGGGGCTACTCTATCTATCCTTAGCCCTGGTATGCTGTCAGTGTTCCCTTCCTGCAGCCCTGACTTCCTTCAGATGTTTGGGGTAGCCAACCAGCCTATCATGGTCTCTAAATCTTTGCCTATCCCCTTCCAACTAGGACAGTTCCCTGGCAGTCATTGTTTATTTACTTGTCCCATTGGCCTCTCTAAAATTCCCAGGAAGAGACTTCTTAGAAACCTACTAGACCCGTATTTCCTTCTCTCAAAAAGAGTAAATATGTTTGAGCTATCCTCACCTGGAGACTTTGCCACAGAAACAGCTTTTACCCAAATTCCCATCTATTTAGTTAACCTCATCAATGCTACCCATCCTGCTCTCCAAGAGGTACCTGAGAGTCTTAGGGCACAATCCAAAACTGATGTTGGTCACATGCATTCAGCACCTCTGATCAAGATTCAGGTAAACCGAATAAGCCCTCGTCCACCATTAAGCAATACACCCTGAATCCGAGGCCCAGACTTGTGTACAGACTAGAATGGACAACTTTACACGAAAGAAACTTTTCCCTTGCACCAGGCTTTACAATACTCCTAGTCTCTCCATCTGTAAACCCAACGGTAGAGTATAGCAATCTTTCCAGGATCCTAGGGCTATCAATAACATAGTCATTCCTCAATACCCAGTAGTTCCTGACTTTCATACCTTACTCTCTAATGTTCCCCTGAAAGCCAATACTCTTCAGCTGCTGACATTGCTAGTGCCTTCTTCAGTATACCTGTACATCCTGACAGCCAGTACCTTTCAGCTATTGACCTTGCTAGTGCCTTCTTCAGTATACCTGTACATCCTGACAGCCAGTATCTTTCCCATGGTTTTCCAAGTCTGTCAGTTTGATCATATCACTCTGTTATTACCTAAGACTAGCACTTGCTTTGACCACATTCTCTGTCTCTCGTCTGTAAATGGGTCTTTGAATTTTCTTGACCTCTTAGGAAATTGTGCTGCCACGAAGACTGTTTTTGGCTCCAGTTACCATAGTCAAGAATTTTCCTATCCCTGTCTTGGGACATGAAAAAAATGCAGGCATTTGCCTTCTGGATCAAATCATTGCTCCCATCACAATTATTAAAACCCCCGGAAGCATTATGTTTGCCTCCCAGGTGTAAGAGAGCTCTATCAATTATTGATTACTACCCTAATGACAACCCCTCAGATTGTAAAAATGATAGCTGTAGACACTCTCAAGGAAGTGATTTACCTGGGAAGGTTAACCTTAGTGAAGGAGCTAGATTAGGAAGGTTTCTGGGATCGTGGTTTGGACTAGGCTCTGCTTGGAATGAATATATAAAGAAAAACATTTCTTGCACTGTTTATAGAATTGCCCACTCCACTGCCTGAGAAATAAGGGCGTAACAGGTCCTGAGACTCCCTTGCTTGTGTGGTCCTGGACAACCGCAGTGCTTCAGCCTATCTTCTCACTGCGCAAGATGGTGTTTGGGCTGTCACTAACACTCATCTGCACCTGAACACATACTTCCAGTCAGGCCGAATTAGAAACATCTACGATCCTCAAATCTTTGAAAAGCATATCCCTATA